GGTCCGGGGCCGGGAGGGGGGCAATAGAGTTTCCCTGGTGTTGGCCAGAGTGGCCACCAGGGAAACCTGGGGAGGGCTAGCCTCCCACTAGTTCGAATTAAGAGGCTACACACCCCTTAATTCGAACTAGCTAGTTCGAACTAGGCTTAATCCTCGTAAAGTGAGGTTTTCCTAGTTTGAACTAAGCGCTCCGTTAGTTCGAATTAAATTCGAACTAACGGAGCGCTAGTGTAGCGCCTATGAAAGTTAGTTTGAACTAACGTCCGTTAGTTCGAACTAACGTTGTAGTGTAGACATACCCTTTTTTACTTGTTTTTCTCCTTATCAAGGCATTATTTGCAGTCTTACTTCCATACACTGATTCAACACCATACATAACATTGTATATAGTATAATGTATTAAATCAGGTACCATAATTAATAACAAATGCATATGGCCATAGATCATACATGCTTGTTGATTGGTCCGTGTGAGGGAGGAGGGTGAGCTATGACTGATGGACGGGAGCTCGTTGCAATTAAGAAAGAAAACTGATAATTGGTGAACTTACCTGTGTATATCCTTGCATTGTACAAGTTATATTAGCGAGATATGCTGGGCAGTGCCGGCCTCCGATGGCCACTCGGAGTGCATCCGTTGCCTGGGGGAATCTCACATCCCCCAGAATTGTGCCCGTTGTACAAAACTCACTTCCAGGGCTAGAAAAGATAGAGAGAGGCGCCTTCACATGCTCCTCTTTGACAGAGGCCTGCAATCACAGCAAGCCAACTCGGATCAGCAGCCCCACAAACGCCGGGCTTCCTCCCCCACTACAGGTCTCCAAAAGAAGGCAAGGCTGTCCCCAGCGGGATCCCTGCCAGCTGCCTTTAATGGCAGGGAAAACCCCTCACTTCCAGGGCTAGAAAAGATAGAGAGAGGCGCCTTCACATGCTCCTCTTTGACAGAGGCCTGCAATCACAGCAAGCCAACTCGGATCAGCAGCCCCACAAACGCCGGGCTTCCTCCCCCACTACAGGTCTCCAAAAGAAGGCAAGGCTGTCCCCAGCGGGATCCCTGCCAGCTGCCTTTAATGGCAGGGAAAACCCCTCAGACACACCTGGGACGTTTGGCAATGTAAAGCCACGTCCCCCTGCCTCAGCGGCTCTGAAACCGAGGCGGCCACGGGAGACTTCCCAAACGCCGGCTCCCCGGACAGCACCAGCTCAGCCGCTTCCCTTCACTCCGGTGCAGAGCGCTGAGCCGGCTCCGAGAGCAGCCTCGGACCCGACCATCACGGCACCGGCACCGCCTCTGAGTCACCGCGTGGTGCCGGACTACACGGCGCCAACCCGCTCCACCGCTGGCGCAGCGTTGGATTACATGGCACCGATCCACTCCACTGCCGGTGCGGCACTGATTGCTCCTGCCCTTGAGCCGCCAGAGCAGAGCGATCCCACTGGCATGGGTCTCCCCATGCCTCCTCCAGACTGCCTTCTCCATTTCTAGCTGCTGCATCTTCTCATCGCAAGCCCTACTACTCTGCTTCTCCTGCTTCCTCCAGGGCATCACACATCCGCTCCTGTTCGCCCTGCTCCCCGTACCACTATCGATATTGCAGCCGCTCTAACTACCATGACCACTGTTCACCATGAGATAGCACATACCATAGCAGCGACCGCTACTCCCGAGATTCACGCAGCGGGTATTCTTGCCGATCACAATCCGCCTTTGACTACGCTTCACGTAGGCGCTCTCCAACTCTGGCTCCCCTTACTCTTCCGCATCATTCACCATCACCATCTCACCATCCATCAGAGCCGGAACATACCCCCTTCGCGGACCGACATTCGGGGACTTCCATCCCAGACTCGTCCCCGCCAGATGAGGCAGTCACACCGGGTGACAGCTCTCCACCAGATGACTGCCGTCAATTCCAAGAGTTGTTTAAGCGAGTAGCCATCACACAAGAGATCCCGCTGCAGGAACTCAAAGACAAACAACACAAGCTTTTCAGGAACCTCCAACTGCAGCATAGGTCGCGTCTGGCCAATACTCTCGACGAAAGCATCCTGGAACTGGCTGATGAAGTGTGGCATGCTCCAGCGTCGGCTCTTCCAACCAACAAACGCCACCAAAGGGCATGGAATTCCTCTTTGCCCATCCACAGGCTAACTCCTTAGTAGTCGACGCAGCTCAACAGAGGTCTAGAGCCCCTCATCTCAAACACCAGGGGCTCCGATAGAGATGTAAAGAGACTTGCCCTCCTGGGCAGGAAGGTCTACACTTCAGCAACGCTACTCCTTAGAATCGCCAATTACTCGGCGCATCTCTCCAGCCACACTTTTGATACGTTTTCACGCCTCACCCCCCTCATGGATCATCTCCCTGATTCTAAGAAATCGATCCTGAGGTCGGTAATCCAAGAGGGCTACACATCAGCGAGAACGTCCCTCCAAATAGCCATGGACGTCACTGATACTGCTGCTCGTTCCACTGCTACTGCCATCGTTATGCGCAGGGCTTCTTTCCTTCAAGTGGCAGGAGTTCCAAAGGAACTACAGGCCAAAGTCGAGGACTTACCCTTCGACAAGGATAAGCTCTTTGCAGAGACCATGGAATCAATCTTACACTCCTCTAAAGACTCCCAAACAACCTTGCAAGCTCTGGGGATGTACACTCCCCCCTTTAAGAGATGCTGGTACTCACCATACCAGCGCAGATATGACTGCTCCTACATCAGTGGCAGCAGCAGCAGAGGCCCTTTGACAACCAACGCTCTTGCCAGAGGCCTCAGCGACACTAAAACCCAAACTGTAGGATGAACATGCCTCCCAACAACAAGCAACAGGTTTGATGCGTTGGTTGGGGGCGAGCAGACAGTCACAGGCAGCATCACGAATCGTACGACCCAGCTCTTTCACCACCGGCTGAGGCCCTTTCTACATCAATGGGCAAAAATCACTACGGACAGATGGGTCCTCGAGATTGTTCAATCTGGCTACCCTATCCCTTTCATAGCCATCCCACCAACCACCCCTCCCACCCCGTCCCTCTTCAGGGACCCCTCTCACGAGACCCTCCTCCAACTAGAAGTCGTCCGCCTTCTCTCTCTCGGTGCTATAGAGCCAGTCCCAAAGGATTTCAGGAACAGGGGCTTTTACTCACTTTATTTCCTCACCCAGAAGAGGTCCGGAGGTTGGCGCCCCATCCTAGATCTCCGCCGTTTGAACAAATAGCTCAAGAAACAACGATTCAAAATGATGACTTTAGCTGCCATAATCCCTGCCTTAGATCCACAGGCTTTCTGTAACGTGAGTCTGGGAGGAGTGTGCAACCAGGTGACACATTTTGCCTGGGAAGCTGGACAAAGCAGGAGGCAGGGGTACATGCAGGGCTGGGACCTACGTCAGACATCAGTGGCAGCAACACCACCAGCAACAGAGGCCCTTCGACCACCAACGCTCTCGCCAGAGGCCTCAGCGATGCCGAAACCCAAATGGCAGGACGAACATGCCTCCCAACAACAAGTTTCTGAGTGTGCGAGTGAGTCTCAGCTGGCTGAGGATACATGGAGGGGGCCGTGGCTCTGAGCCCCTTTCTCCCCAAGCTGGATTGTGCTGGCTGCTTCTGGCTCCTGTGCTCACAAGTCTGTTCTACGCAGTATCCCTGTCAACTAATAAACCTTCTGTTCTGCCAGCTGGCTGTGTGTCACGTCTGGCTGGGACCAGCTGTGCGAGGTGCTGCCCTTGCAGTGTTTCTGGTCCAGCCTCCCTTTGAGTCCGAACTCAGAAGACTAACAGGCGAGAGTGAAACTGATCAAGAAAGGAACATTTGGGGTTGAACTTTCATTTCAGCTCATTTCTGAGAAGAGAAAAGGAAATTAATTTCCTCCCCTCGGTGCAGAAGCAGCCGTGGCTGCCGCGAGGGCAGGACACACGCTCCTGAGTTGGTCAGTGTGTACAGATAAAGATCCCGTGTATCTGGATTGTGGGCACAATTTCTGCCAAGCCTGCATATCACAGTGGTGGCAGGGACTGAGTAGAAACTTCCGCTGTCCGGAGTGCAGAGAAACCTTCTCCCAGAGGAATTTCAAACCGAACAGACAGCTGAGGAATATTGTGGAAGCCTCCAGACCGCTGAGAATGGAACCACAAAAATAAGCCAGAAGTGGAGAGAGTGTGTGAGAAACACAAGGAGGGTTTTCAAATCTTCTGCCAAGAAGACCAAATCCCCATTTGCGTGGTTTGCCACTCATCCCAAGAACACAAAGACCACACCGTGGTTCCCATAGAGGAAGCTGCAAAGGCTTACCAGGTAAGAAACCAGCGGAAATAGCCAGGGAGGGCATTTAAATAAAATAATTGCAAAAACAGCAGATACCGTAAAAGAAGAAGTCCCTAACTGAAACATGGCGTATGAAATAAGCGTAGTCAGCTTCGGTATTGACTTCTGAGTAACTTCTGAGTAACACCACCACATAAACCACTGTCACTGATTCAGCTTTTCAGATGTTTTTATTTGTTGTACGTTTTGGGGAAGAATCTTTCAACTGGGCAAGTCAGAGATTAGAGTCTGTTGTTTTTCACTGGGGCTATGTTTATGTCTTTTGATAGAAGGATGCAAATGAAGACATTCAAAATTGCAAATGAAGCCGGGATTACAATATCTTCATTTGCATATTTGTGGAGTCACACTGTTTCAAAATACCTTATTTCGATATAAAAAGCGCTGTTAAGATGTGGTTATTTTGAAAGAAAAACCCTTCTTTCAAAATAACCTTTATTCCTCCTAAAATGAGGTTTAACAGTTATTTCGAAAGAAGGGTTTTCTTTCAAAATAACCACATCTGAACAGCGCTTTTTATTTCAAAATAAGGTATTTTGAAATAGTGCTGGTCCACGAATATGCAAATGAAGCGTGGGATATTTTAATCCCAGCTTCATTTGCAATTTCAAATGTCTACGTTCGCATCGCTCTATCAAAAGAGGGTGCAAGTGTAGACATACCCTGGGAATGTTTAGATCGGTCTAAATGTTTCTGCTCCACAACATTTGACAGTGTTCAAAAGTGGTTGTGGGCTGCAATTATGACAGTGTTCAAAAGTGGTTCTGGGCTGCAGTGGGTTAACAGGATTGTGCTGGGAATTGGTTCTCAGTCCTGAAATATTGTCCTCAAGATAGTGTGCTATGTTTTATGCACTTTCCCCACTTTGGAACCACCTTTTCCAGGTCCTTTTTGGTGTTTAAAATACAGTTCTGGGCCAAAGCAGGCCAATCACAATGTGCACAGAACTGTCTATATCAGTACTTGCCATGAAAAGATTTGAGTTAGAAATCTGCTCTGATTTGCTTGCTCCTAGGGCATGAGGGACTAGAGAGTGCTTCAGAAACAGGATGAGTAAGCTCTTCATAAAATAACAGATGTTAAATTCTCTGGGGTTGCAATGCCATGTTTGCATCTGCATACGCACATCTTTATAAAATGTCCCACAATTCACTTTGTTCCTCTCCTCTGCTTTCCCTTTTCATACTGTGTGATTTCAGAAACAGCTAGAAACTGAGAAGCAGAAAATTGTGTCTGAGTTTGAGCAACTGTCCAACTTTCTGAAGGAACAAGAGCGACTCCTGCTGGCCCGGGGGAAGAGCTGAAGAAGGAACTTGAAAAGAGGCGGGATGAATATGTGGCTAAACTATCAGCTCTGTTGAGGCCAAATGTGAGTATTGTGTCCAGTTCTGGGCCCCCCACTACAAAAAGGATGTGGACGCATTGAAAGAGTCCAGAGGAGGGCAACCAAAAAGATTAGGGGGCTGGAGCATATGACCTAGGGGGAGAGGCTGAGGAAGTTGGGTCTGTTTAGTCTGGGGGTTTTGATAGCAGCCTTCAACTTCCTGAGGGGAGGTTCCAAAGAGGATGGAGAGAGGCTGTTCTCAGTAGTGACAGGTGGCAGAACAAGGAGCAATGGGCTCAAGTTGTGGTGGGAGAGGTCTAGATTGGATATTAGGAAAAACTATTTCCCTAGGAGGGTGGTGAAGCACTGGAATGGGTTCCCTAGGGAAGTAGTGGAGTCTCCATCCCTCGAGGAGCTCTGTTCTGCCTGCCTCATTGTGCAAGGCCAAAGGGAAATCCAATAGAATTAGAAGATAACAAATTCAAATCGGAACCAATGCACACTTAGCCATACATTACCACATAGTGACTCTGTTCCCCAATCCCATTGTTCTCCTCCAGCCCCGACTTCCTGTGGCCGCCAAGAAGCTCTCAGTATGGGCCTTGAGAACGGTTGAGGGAGAGCGGGGAGAGAGTTTACAGCCTGGGGATAGCATGGCCTGGGGGCAGCCTTCCCTGCTGATCCCCTGCCTTCTGCAGAAGGGGTCGTTCCCAAAGCCGTGAGTGTTCGGGAGATCTTTGTTCCGCACATCACCCGCCTGAGCCCTCTGATTCCATGTGCCCAATGGGGTAATGCACCGAGCTAGTGAGCTCCATAGACAAAAACCTTAGGCTTAGATCCTGCACTTGCTGCCTTTTTTCATGGGAGCGAAGGCAACACATTGAATGGGTTTGTTTGTGTTAATAAATAGCAAATCATTTCAATTTCACTGGGAACCTCCGTCGGGGAAAACTGAATTTCCTCTTCTCTGTCTCCTCTAGGGCATCAAAGGTGCCTTGCACAGGTAGGTGGCTCCTTCTCTCTCCCCCTTTCACTTCCCCGTGCAGGGTATTTAAGAATGTCTGATAGAGATGAGTCTGCCAGTCAGACTGTGGGGTGGGGGCCTGGCTCAGCAGAGCCGATCCTGCCCCTGTCCCTGGTCTGGGTGAGTCCCCCGGCACGGGGCTGAGCTCTCAGCGTGGCTCCCCGGACAGAGCGGGGGGAAGCCTGGAGGGGGAAGATGCCTGAATCACTCCCCAACTGGGGCAGGTTCTGTCCCGGGCAGGATCGGACCCTCCCCAGGGGACCCTCCCCTGCCCAGCACTGACTCTGTGACTCTCTCCCCAGTGGACGTGACTCTGGATCCAGACACGGCCCATCCCCAGCTTGTCGTGTCGGAGGATCGGAGACGTGTGAGATGGGAATGCAAATGGCAGTCACTGCCTGACACCCCGGAGAGATTTGACCCTGAGCGCTGTGTGCTGGGCCGTGAGGCCTTTACCTCGGGGAGACATTACTGGGAGGTGGAGGTGAATGTGGAGCGACAGGGACGCTGGGGCTTGGGGGTGGCCAGGGAGCCTGTGAGCAGGAAGGGGAAGGTTAGATTTAGCCCTGAGCAGGGGGTCTGGGCTGTGGAGGGCGAATGGGATCGGTGCTGGGCTTGCACAGCCCCTGGGCAAGGCACCACATTACCCCAGGGCAGGATGCCCCGCAGGATCCGGGTGTATCTGGACTGCGAAGGGGGGCGGGTGGCATTTTACGATGCTGGTAGCGTGGAATCGATCTTCACGTTCCCGCCGGCCCCTTTCGCCGGGGAGAGAATCCGCCCGATCTTCCGCTGTCTGGGCTACAAGGATTCCGATTCGTACTTACCCTGCCAGCTCTCCCTGTGCCCCTGAGCTGCCCCCTCTGCCCCCAGGAAACAGGCTCCCC